CAGTGTGTGTACATGGTACCAACAGATTGGGAAGGGGACAGGCAACACAGCAGCTGATCAGGCAGGGAGCACAGGACAGGAAGCAGAAAAAAAAAAGGAGATCAGGTAGGGAGTACAGGGTAGGGAGCAGGAAGCAGAGCAGATTGAACAGAGGAAGGGGATCAGAATTCCACTCAGGGAGGACACAGGGCTAACTTGTGGCATGCCTACTAAAAATGTTGTCCACTACTGATATAAAGCAGTTTTAGGACAGTTATGAATTATATAAGCTAACAGTGAGCCCTATGGAGACATTGTACTAGCCAGGTACTTTCATAGTCCCAACATATCCATACTGCATTGGCTGGAAAGGGTTGCTTGTGTGTGGGCTGTGTTATCAGTTTCCTGCCAGATAAGGATTCATATCCCCAGGCCAGAATCTTCAGCGGCTTGTTTAGGGCCTCATTAATTAATTCCCCCATACACCATTGAATTTAGGCCAGCATTTGGTACACAGGGTGTAAAAAGGTGGCAAGATTTGGTAAGAACAGTCCCATTTGTAACTTTCAGGATAAAAAAGAAGGACTTGGAACTTTCTATTGTAAAAAATATATTTAAAAGATTAAAAACTTCAAAATCTTGTTTAGAAAGTGGATGAAAATTGCCTGGGGAACCAAAAATGCTTCAGAAGGGCTCATTGAAGGAAGGGGTTAAGACAGAAGATGCCCAATATGTCCATAGAATATGGTCAAATGGGGGAGGCACACTGCAAAAGCAATGAGAATTTAATTTTAAAATGAACTACACATGCACCAGTATTCTGTTGTTCCATTGTTTTGTCTGTTCTGAGATACTTTTTGCAAAGTAGTTTAGAGGTACAAAAGTGCTTCCAAACTTAATTTTTTTAACTTAAAGAAATGTAAACTATATAGAGCAAAGGGTTGTAAGTCATGCTGGTTTGTACAATGGCTGTCTACTGGTATGTTTGGGTACCTGACGATATTTAGGACTAGATCCAAAGGAGGAGTTAGGTGCCACATTGATCTGGTTCCCAGAGTGGAGTCTGAAGGCTTGGCTCCCTGTTCAGTGAATGGGAGTTGGGCTCCTCAGAAGGATGATCCAAAAATAACTCACACTGGTTGCAACTACATGTGAAATTAACGTGACACAGTAAACTCTGGAGCAGTTCAGACCAGAGTCAGCTGTTCCCAGGCACAGCATCTACACATACACCCAGGAGAGCAGCAGTTTGAACCAGGACAGAACAGCCCCGAGCTAGCAGCAGACTCAAGGGCTCAGCCCCAGGCTCCAGGTAGTGGCATCAGGCAGCAGAGGGGGTAGCTGGGACATGAGAGTGCTAAAGTATAGAGCTGTGTGGCAGGCAGCCCCCGCACTTTAGCATCTTCATGCCCCAGCCAGCCCGTCATCATCTACACATGCATTTCATCGCACTTAATTACTCCACTATAAGATAGTACTGTTCCTGTACTATCTTATGGGGGAGCTAATTTACTGCACCTTAATACCAGTGCACACGTAGACAGTGGCACTTTTCTGCAGAGGTACTTAGTCAATTCCACAGTAAAGCACACATGTAGATGTACCCAGTGAGTGGGGAGCTGCTTAGAGCTGTCAACAGGAAACACTACACATAGGGGACAGTCTCAACTCCCATCCCTCTTTTGAAAGAAGTGAACAGAGCTCATCCATCATAAAGGACAGCCAGGGGAGAAAGAACTGGTAGTGATGGTGCAGAGGCCACCTACCTTTTATGTGATAGACTACTGGTTAGGACATTAGAGTGGAAGAGCTGGCTTCTAGGCCCTCCGCAGTTCAAACCTGTATCTTCCATACCCAGGAAAGTGCCCTGTTTCTTTTTGCTTGCATTCCTTCTGTCCCTATAAGCATTACTTTCTTTGCTGTACAGTGGCCCAGATTCAAAAGGAGGGAACCCCCAACTAGCCTGGTGGTTAAGGTACTGTCGTGGGAGGGGTAAAAATGGGTTTGAAACCCATCAGGGAGCAAAGGGACATGACTGGAACAGTGCCACTCAAGCATTTAGGATGCAGACAGAAGTGGCAATTTTTCCCTGATCTGGTCCCTGAAAGTGCTCTATGGCCATGACCAAACAGAAGTGCACATCTGCAAAGTGCTTTAAAAGGACCTTATCCTGCAAAAATTGAGGTTTCAGATGAAGACATTTTAAAACAGAGCTTCTTCAATAACTTCCGCCTGCTCTGCCTCCCAGCCTATTGCTGTTTTCAGAATAGGAGGGAGGAAAAGGAGTGGGGAGAGTTTAGTCTGGGGTTTTTTCAGCCCATACTGCAAGGTAGAGCAGGTGTATTAGAGCCTTCCCAAGGTGGGGGGGTCCAATCCACCCACCCCACCCTCCAGCCCAAGCTGGGAGACCCCTAGAATGATCTCCCTCTGCTCCCTTTCCCCCCTCCCATTCTGAAAACAGCCTGGGCTGGGAGGGAGGAAGAGCTGTTGGTAAGGAAAACTGGCAACAGGCTCACAGCCAGCAGCTGGATTCCCCTACCCCCTGGACCCAACAGTGAACTTCTGTTTGGTCTGGGGGACTGTTGTAATTCAGAACGCTTCCTGCAAAGCATTCTGAGTTGCAGCGGGGAGCTGATCTTCTGTCTGCGCCCTCAGACTTGGGTATTCAGGGCACGCTTAACTCCATCCTGGCCAGAGCCTGCTAATCTAGTGGTATAAAACCCATGACAGGCTTAAGCTTCCTCTACATGTTACATTCATGTTGCGATTAATGTGTTAATCATATCACAGGTGGCAAGGGTGCTACACATGCACCTGATTTAAGGCACTATAAAATGGCAAATGATCCATAAATATGTTCCACTTGTAATTTAGAACATTTTTATGGCTCATTGTGTGGCATCTTAAACTTAATGTGTGGTTTGGGGCCAACAATCAGATGATCCTTGGTCTTGAGATCAGGACTGCACAGGAGTCTGTCACTAGCTCCAGGACTAACAATGAGCTGATTTTTGGCCCCCTGTGGACATGGAGGGTGGGAGCTAAAGGGCTTCCTTCTGGCTAGGCTGTTGGAGAGCAGAGGCCACTGTCCTTCAGTTCCTACTGTCAGGAGCCACTGATCCCCTGGTGTCCAGGCTAGGGCCAACAGTCAGCTGATTGTTGGTCCCAAGACTGTACCAGGGCCTGTTTGAGACCCAGTGCAGTCCCAGGGCCAGAGCCAAGAATGAAATTTTTTACCCTTATTAGATATTCAGGCACTCATCTTTCAACTTGCCAGTGCAGGGGAAGCCAGGATTATGATCCCTGGCTCCCCTTCCACTGGCAAGCAATAATGGCATGATTGGGATCCCAAAATCAGACTTCCTCCTATGAAGATCTGGCAGATACCATCGTGCCATTACACAAATGTGTGCCAGGGGCCTTATGAACTGTTTTGTTACTTTCTGCATCCCAGTGGGACTCGGGCAGGTTGCCATCTGTGCTCCAAATCTCATCTTTCATATCAAATAATAATGTATAATTCCTGTCTCTAGAAACATAGTCCGAAGTATATGATCAGAGTAGGAACTGATGCAGAGATGTCTGCCTGAGTCCACAGGTATCCTGAAGCAATAACTGTAACAATGACCAATGCCTGTTAACTCTGAAGCCTAATGATGTCAGTATACATGTCTAAATGGTTAATTATTTCATTTGTGAACAACATATGCAAGGAAGAAGAGTTATATTATAGAAGTGTTATGCCACTGGGGGGTCACTAGTTTTGTTGTAACTACTTGTTTCTGTGTAAAACATGTTTGCTCTCCCCACTGCCAACTCAGCTTATACTGGTTTCAGGTTGAGTTCAAATAAGTACCATCCAGGGACTTTGCAGTGCTGTAAAAAATCTCATTCAGTTGTGTAATGATACTGGCTTATCAGCACACAATAATAAAACCTAGACACACTTCCACTAACCTATACCAAAAACAGGGCATTTGGATTTCTTTGTATCCTGCACCAGGTTGTTATGAAATAAGGAAGGAAAAGTACCTGTTTTAGTGAGCCTCGGTCCTCTACCAATTTTACTGTTAAAAGTCTTTTAAGTGAATTCAGAACATGTGAAAAATACTGGACTGAAAGTACTTGAGATCAATATATTGTGTTCACAGAACAGGAACTAAGACAGTAAGTTTGCAGGTAATGCTCCAGCTTAGTCAGGCACATCTGAAGGTAAGAGCGGTGATTCAGTCTCCCTGCCTAGTTAGTCTTTGGTCTCTCTACTGAGGCTGCCAACAAAACTGACACCCATTAGGTGACATGAATGCCTGTCCAGCAGCAAATAAACGAAGACTACTAACTAGGTCCTGTGGATCAGCCAGTAACTCTGAGCCACTGCTGTCCTGAATCAGATTTGAACCGTCATTTGAGAGGTGGAAGCAAGCATTGTATCCTTTTTCACTCTTCCAGATGTTTCACTCCATTACTTAATACAAAGTGTGTGTTAAACGTAGCACATTTCTGTATAAAGTTGTGCTAAAACCCATGGCTGCACTATTATCTTTCCAGTGCAGTTTGTGTGCCCAGTTCCTCCTTTCAGCAGCGAGGTCTTTGAACTGGACTTTTAAAAGCAGATTTTTTTTTTGCCCTGGGACATGTAATCATCACATAAGCATCTTAGGGTTCTGTTCTGATTGAAAAGCTTCACAATCACGGGTGGGGCCTCATGCGAGCAGCAGCCTCGCACTAGCAGGTGAACTGTTTGCATCAGAAAGCACTTGTTTACAACAACGGTTCGGACCTGATCGGGAGTCCTAAGACTTTGATCCAATCAGCGGGCGGAATTTTCTGACCCTGGCTTACAGCAGCATCTGCATTGCTCCCCGTCGTATCCAGGCCACTTCCGAGTCTGTCTGTGCAGAAAAGAAATCACAGCTCTGTGTTAATCAAGCGTTTCTTTTATTTTGCTCACACTGAAGACAGCACATTTGTGTTTTAGCAGCTAACGTTCCTTCATTTGATTTCTTTTCTTTTTCTCATAG